CTCCTCACAGTCATACTCCCAAGCATCACTAGAACCTGTTCTCTCCTTTGCTCTCAACTGCCAGTGTTTTCATTCAAATTCCCATCATCTCTTGTGGGCTTCACTGCTACAACCTACTGATCACATTTGTTCCCCTCCACCTCCAATTCATTCCCTTCCTTCTGGTAGAGTCATCTTCCAAAATACAAATCCTTTCTTAATCCCCAACATAAAAATCTTCCAAAATCTCCCATTTGCCTTCAGAATTAAGATTAAAAAAATTAAGCTGGAGTGCACAGAAAGGCTACCAGTTCAATTCCCCAGTCAGGACACAGGCCTGAATTGTGGGTTCGACCCCCAATTGGGGTACATATGGAAGGCAACCAATCAATGTTTCTCTCTCTCTCTTCTTCTAAGCATTTCCTTGAGTGAGGATTTAAAAAAAAAAAAAAAATCAAAATGAACATGGGACAAAAAGCCCTCAGCAATGTGCCTCATATGAAAACTTTCAACCTAAACTCGTCATGCGCCCCTTCATTCTACTTTCATTAACCAGCAGACTCTCACAGAATTAACTCTGGAACCTCTGACCTCTCCCAATCTTACCCACACTTCCTCTGCTTAGGTGCATCATCCTACTTATCCTTTACGATTTGGCTCAAAGACCATCTCTGAATACTACTGCTCTATGGTAGGGCTCATCAGGCTACACCACAATCACAGCCACTGGTCCTTTGTCCATTCCCCCCCCCCTTCATTGATGAGACCCTTAAGGAAGGTGTACCAGTTTTCCACATCTCTGAATAGCCACCTCTACTAAAGAGCTAGGTTCAGTGATGCCAGAAACGAATGATAACACAGAAATCTGCATATCTTACATTATCAAACATTGTTATAGGCTCACTAAAGGCCCAGTGCATGAAATTCATGCATGGCCAGCAATCAGGGATGATCGAGGCCTTCCTTCCCCGGCTGCTGGCCAGAGCTTTCCTTCATTCCGCTCCACCCCCCTGGTAATAAGTGCACACCAGAGCGAGCAGTCAAACTCCTGGTTGGTTGACTCCCGGTTGGTTGAACTCCCAGTCAGTCGAATTCCCAAGGGGACAATTTGCATATTAGCCTCTTATTATATAGGATGCTTGGTTTTCCCCATTACTACATTTCTTTAAATCATAAGGTGATGTCAAAAGATAAGATACAGCCAATTTCAGAGATGTTAAAAGATAGAAATATTGTAGTCTATGAAAGACAGTATATTAATTTAAGTAAAAGAATAATTAAAAAGTTATGCACTCTATCATCAAATTAGAAAAGCATTTCAAAAGTCCATGTGCTGGAAAACAACCCAAAACTTCCTAAAATAACGCTAAATGAAGGCAGCACATATGTTATCTTAAGATATTATAATAGTTTCCCTTTGAAATGTTCATTAAGAAACTGTTCTACATCCTGGTGTGGTAGCCAGAACACAAATCTAATATCTACTAAAATTCACAGAACCATAAAGTCAAGTCATGAAAATAAAACATTTTAAATGTCCATTAAATATGCCCATCCCCCTTTTCCCCCATTTACCCGGTCTGGAATGGATCCATCCCCACGGACCCAAAAATCCAAAGAGGACACATATTTCTCCACTGACCTTCGCTCCATCTCATGAGCAATGACTGTTAAGAACTGAGATGACCTGTCTCCAGGCCCATCCGCTGAGTGCCTTCATGTCCCATCCAGGCTTCCTGCTGCTAATATAGAGCCATTCTCCTTCCAGCCATCTCCAGCTCTCCCAGCTCTGCAGTTGCCAGCTCAAATCCAGCTTCCCTCATCCTTCTCCCACCTCATTCCACTAACAGTGTGTCCAGCTCTTGTCCACTGTACACTCTGAAATCTGGGCTCTATTGGGCTTAGACGGAGGAAAGAGGTTCACCTTTTATGCTGACACCTTCATGTCCCTCTCTTCCCCAGGGCAAAGAGGATTTTCTTTGAAAGGTTAAAACCACCCGAATGTGGTAAGACACAGAACCCCTACATCATCATATTTTTCCTTGGAAAACTGAACAAACTGATATTCCATTTGCTAATCAGGAAACGGAAGCCCAGAGAACTACTACCCAGAAAAACTTAGGAAATAAGCATAGGGATGATCCATTCCAAAAAGACCAACTCCTACAAAGTACATGCTAATCCCAAAGGGAATAACTCATAGGTCCACTGATTTTCATTTCACAATTGATATGTAGTCACACCTACGGGGGAAGTCAGTTTAGGGAGTACTGTAAGTTAGAACAGCTGCCCTGACGTGAGACGAACGAAGAGCTACCAAGGCGATGACTCATCACTGAAGTACGTGACCTTCTCTGGAGTACATGAAGTACACAAGCACTTCAGGGGAATAAGTGGTAGTAAGTGTGTCATAAGTTGACTGTCTGGCCTCCCTGCAGGATGTCAAGGACTTTTTAATATTTCTTACCAAACACCACAAAGTTTTCCCCCAACTTCTTAACAGCAAATCCTTGCTCAGAGTTCATCAACTTCCCCACCCTTGTCCCCAGGGAAGCACTCCAAGAACAAGCAAAAGGAAGAAGCCAAGGGGTAAGAAGCTGAGGTGGAGGCATTCCAGAAATCTTGGGCAGCTTGTAGACAACTTACAAGATGTTCTTTGCTATCACTGGGATCAAAATGTAAGTGACATTATTTTATTTAGCCCATATCTCATTCTCTATTGCTTTGTCTCCTACAGTTCTCATCACATGCAATTTTCTTCCTATAAATGCAAATTCTAACTCAGGGTTTGTTTAACTCCCTCCTGTATCCTCAAAGTTCTTTGGAAAACACTACCTGTTACCTTCCTCTCGTCTGAACACTAATATCACTTTCTTCAAACTCAAAGACATTCATGTGCATACCCTTCAGACACGGTTGTGTTTGCTTTTACAAAAACTGCAGCACTGAGTATTCCACATAATAAAGCCATCATTGCCTAGGTCAGTTTACACTCCAATGAAACAATTTAACAGTGCTTCATATTTCACGTTAGGCACATGATACGATGTACTTGATTAATCTCCTATTAATCTCCTATTCTTATAAACGTGGGAGGTTTCCTATTTTAGGCTATTATAAGCCATCATGCAAAGAAGATAGTTTCTTAAAATACATAACAATGTGTATCCGTCTGATGGTCTCAAGATAAACTATTAGAAATGGAATTGTTAAGCCAAAGTCATGCAGCCTATCACTCTACCCCTTTTAGGTCTTCTTATTCACATTTCCAATTTATCCTTCAAAAAAGTTACTCCAGTTTACTCATTTTATTTATGCATAATTCAAAAAAAATATTTATTTGGTGCTGGACATTATCGATGAAATCATTATTAACATCAATAGACACAGTTCTTGCCCTCAAGGAGCTTACAATCTAAAGGAAGAGACAGAAACCCACACCATCACAAATCCCTCATTATATCCCTCAGGTAAATTAAGAAGCAAAAATACAGGATTTTTCCAAGACTACAGGAATTAGTTCCCATAGGAATAATTAGTTCCCATAGGTTCTGAGCTGAGGCTAAGATAGTTGGAAATCAGGTGAAACCAGGTCATAGAGAATCCTGGACAAAATATTCTAAGCAAAGAGAGCGTGGGCAAAGCCCCTGAGAAGGGATAGAACCTAATTCAAATGAAAACAATGTAAGCAGGTCTCTGTGCTGGGCACAGAGGCAGTGGAAAGGTGAGGGAGGGCTAGACCACAGCTCTCTGGCAGCAGAAGCAGTGGACCTCCTGCACCCTCCCCAACTGTGAGGCCAGCATTCACTTGCCAGGGGCTAGATCAGGCACAGGGCAGTCAAGCCCACAGAACCAACAACTGAAGAATGGCACAATACACTGTAAATCAGAAGCATGGATGAAAGTAAGCTTATCCTGAAAAGGAATGTACTTTCAATCTGTCCCAGAAACTTTAGGCGTACAATATCATGCCATGTACTTTAAACAATGTAATCGGCTAAATTCATTAGTTTAGTAGTTGTTGTCTAACTGTGTGCCCATAGACAGCAAAATATGAGAAAGTTCTTGACTTCAATATGCTAAGACTAATAAATCAACTAAAAAGTATTTAAATCTGTCAAAAATTTCATACCTACATTTTACTTAATGTAAAAAACATAAATGTCACTTTAAGGTCCTACACTGGAGAAAAAGCTAATCCTCATAATCTTTCAATGAATAATTAGGTAATTTTCTTTATTCTAACACAGATTTTCTTATAATCTTCCACATAAATAAGAGTTAAAATCAGTGGTATAAGATTTTTTTTTTTAACTCAAAAGATTCCTTCTACAATGTTTTTATTTGTAGAAATGGAATTACCATCATTTAAAGGACACTTTCAGTAATTAATTAGACTATATTAAAAAACTACAGAAAGTTCATCCACAAAGTTATATCCCTAAGTAATAAAGTTGCTCAGTAACAGAGAGAAAGAGAAGCTCAAAAGGCTCAGCAACCTGTCCCATAAGTAAAACGAGCAAAACACAATCTATTTGTGAAAATAAAGATACTTCATCGAGTATCTTTCAAACAGTCCCTATTACAAAAGGTAATGACTATTCAAGTGCTGTAGTTTATAATAAAACATCCCTTCTACACCCTCAAAAGCTTTAAAAAAATATATTTTTGCTTTAGGATAAAGAAAAGGCCATATACTTTGTGAAAATGATCTCAATATCAATCCAATGATCTCCATTATTTGCTGTCCTTAATGAAATTCACTTGCAAGTCCCAGAGCAATTTCCAAAACTTCACTGTTGATTAGGCTATTCTGAAGTGAAATTCTTCAGCAACACACAAAAGACAGAGAGTAAAATAGTCCTCACAAATATACTTAGAAATAGGTGTACTTGAAATATAAATATAACTTTCCAGACCATTATTTTTTCTATTGACTAAACTCTATATCATTTTCTAATGAAGGTTTTCAGATCAATGATGTGTGCAGCCCACTGTCATGACACAGTCATTTAAACTTCTCATCTGCAAAACAGAATGCAATATATTATCAACAAGGGGAGAGAAAAACACGAAGCCCCATCTGGCTTACGAAATAAAAACCACAAGCATGACAAAACACATAGCGCCAAATATGAGAGCCCACATTTTGCTGAATAATCTTTTAACTCTTCATGATTATAAAAGTAACACAGACCAATTTAGAAAATATAGAAAACCAAGAGAAAATAATCTCTTATAACCCTACCATTCAAATAGAACTGTTAATATTTGGGGGCTTTTCTTTCACTTTTTCCTATTTTCATATTTTTCTATTATATACAAATAATAGGGTTAAGAAATACTTGCTTGTATACTTTAAAAAATAGATTATATTTGCATCTTTATCTTTTGCTTACTTAACATATAGCATGTTAAATATCTGACTTTAAAACATAATTTTAAAAATATATTATATAAATATATAATATATTTAACCATTTCCCTATTATGGGACACTTGGGATATTTCCAATAAACATAATAAATAGACTGTTGTAAATATATTTAAAACTCATAACACTTCTGATTATTTTCTTAAAATGTATTTCTATAAATAGAATTATTATGTTAAGCCGAAACCAGTTTGGCTCAGTGGATAGAGCGTGGGCCTGCGGACTGAAGGGTCCCGGGTTCAATTCCGAACAAGGGCATGTACCTTGGTTGCGGGCACATCCTCAGTAGGGGGCGTGCAAGAGGCAGCTGATTGATGATTCTCTCTCATCGGTGTTTCTAACTCTCTATCCCTCTCTCTTCCTCTCTGTAAAAAAATCAATAAAATATATTATTAAAAAAAAAAGAATTACTATGTTCTAAGGTAATTTGACATGACCAAGAATCACCCCCGGAACTAAATAGCCTTGTTCTACCAGATTTTAACTTATTCAAAATTCACAAAACTTACAATTAAATGGTATATATTTAAAAATAAAATTTTAAAGTGAAAAAGCATTCACTGTTTAAGTATCAGAAATAATAGGAAACAGAATCACTATTATGTTATAGCAATAGTGTATAATATACACTATTAGGTTATACAAATAATAGGAAATAGAATCACCATTATTTTGTAGCATGTAGAATCACTATTAGATGGTAGCATATACTCATGAAAAAAAATAATTTAACTTAAAACACACTATATACTTTAATTTGTTCCAAGTGAGTCAAAGAACACAAAATAGCATGTTAGCACCAAGAAAAAAAATGAAAAATGATCTCAACCAGTTAAAAAAAAGAAAACATCAGAGAGAACTGAAGGGTGAGTTCAACAGAGGAACTTAGGACAAAGGCCTTTGCTCCAATAAATTGCGAATACTAAACATCTGTCTCTCCGAAGGCAATTTAAAGCCAAATTCTCCCATCCTGCCTTCATTTTAGACTTTGATACCCGCCTTTTAAAATTTTCTGACACAAACAAGAACGTTGTTATAGTTCCAGAGATGATCATTAGCTCTTGAAACACAAGAAAAACACTAATTTCTTTAAAAAAAAAAAAAAAATACATATATAAAAAAAATCCAATCCTAATACCTTGAAATACAAATGCTAACGTCCAAGATTTTCAAAATAAAGACAACTTTTCTCTTTTTCAATACTTACTCAGCATGAGAAAATTTCATTTCTTCCCTTTGTCTTGCAGAATAATTTAGGTTCCCACCTAAAACACAAATAAGCATAGAATTTTTTTCAATGTAACTATTATAAAAATTCAAACATGCACTCAAGCTCAAGCACACACACACACACACACACACACACACATATACATTTGCACTGATATATGGTATTATGAAAGTTGAGAAAGAAATAGTTTATCTCTTGGTACCGTTCCAAGGGAAAATGTTTATTTTTAAATTGATATAGAAAACATCAAAATCTTATAAATAATAGACACACTTTCAACCATAAAATGAAAATTTCAGCTGAAAATTGTTTACTTTTTTTAAAAAATATAAGACAATAACACAGGAAGGGCTTTAGGTTCTAAATATACTTTTTTATGGCCCAGGTGGTGTGGCTCAGTAATTGAGCATTGAAATATTTCCCTCTCTCTCTAAAATAAATAAAGAACATATATTTTTTTTAAATGCATCTTTATGCTAATATAAAAACAACATCTAGCCCGGCCTTCATGGCTCAATGGTTGAGCATTGACCTATGAACCAGGAGGTCAGAGCACATGCACAGGTTGCAGGCTCAATCCCCAGTGTGGGTGTGCAGGAGGCAGCCGATCAATGACTCTCTCTCATCATCGATGGTTCTATCTTACTCTCCCTCTCCCTTCCTCTCTGAAATCAATAAAAATATATAATTTTTTAAATCTAAAATTTTCTAAAACTTACATTGAACAGGCTAGAAAGAACATGAAAACAATTTTAATGAACATGAAGGTCCAGAATACATATCCTATATAATAAAAGCATAATGTGCTAAGTGTCCGACCGATCAGTCGACCATTTGGTTGACTGTCGGACCAGTCGCTATGACGCACACTGACCATCATGGACAGAAGCTCCAGTAGGTTAGCTTGCTGCTGGGGTCTGGCCGATCGGGACTGGACAAGAGGCCAGAAACCTCCCCCGGTCCCTCCTTGGCCAGCCATCCCCAATCCACCTCTATATGACTGGATGAGATAGCCCCAAATGGCCCCGATCACCAGCCAGGCCGAGGAACCCCACCAGTGGTGCACCGGGCCTCAGTTATACAATGAAATGTTTCCATCACTATGGACAGAATGTCATTATACTTGAGCTAAAGCACTTACTGGCTTCTAGAAGGCATGTAGACTACTCAGTGACCCCACAAGATCATCTATCTCAGCTTAAGAAGAAAATGCCTGAACTTCTACTTACCTTGGGCACGGTTCACCAAATAGAGTAAGACCACAGCTAAAAGTGACACTGGAAGTGAAAAAAACATAGGACCCTTGAAAGACGTGTAGTTTTCCCCAATGATTCCTATGTAATCATAATTACAAAGTAAAATTAGACAAATCATTTAAAAGTAAAATCACTATTTACATTATTTTCCTGAAAGCACTAAAAATAAGTCACACACCATTTCTCCAGGGGCTGCCTGAGTTCAGGGATGGCAAGGCCAGAAACGGAGAAACAGACACCCACAGAGAGGGGACAGACCTCTTTCCTCTCAAGTGCTGGTCCTTCCCAGCACTTCCCCAAGACTCCTGCCAGCCCCTAGACTATTTTTTTACCGAGAGACAAACAGAAATAATCTTTTTTTTTTTTTTTTTTTTGGGGGGGGGGGGAGTGGTGGGAGAGAATAGGTCTGAAAATGCCATGTCCATTTTACAAATTAATCAAACATTATGATGTGGTCATGAGACTCCCAGAAGCCCAGAGTCAGTTCATACCTCAGAAAGTCAGATGCCTGGCTTTTTACCTTAACAGGTGAGGCCCACTTAATTTACTTAAAATTAACATGGCAACAAAAAACATTTTAAAATCATGTGCTATTTGGTTTGGGAACCAAATAATATTAAACAGCAGCTTTAAATTAAACCATATGTTGCAGCATTAAAAGTAGATAAAAATAGCCCTAGCTGGTTTGACTCAGTGGATAGAGCATCTATTTATGGACTGAAGGGTCCTACATTCAATTCTGGTCAAGGGCACATGCTCAGTTTGTGAGCTCAATCTCCAGTAGGGAACAAGCAGGAGGCAGCCAATGATTCTCATCATTGATGTTTCTATCTCTCCATTCTTCTTCCTCCTCCTCTGAAATCAATAAAAAGATATTTTTTAAAAATAGACAAAAACACTTTCATGACCATTTTTTAAACTCTTAAATAACTCACTTTTTTAAAACAAATATAGCTTTTTTTAATTTGGTGTGCTTATTTCTAAAACAGGAGATAAAATGTATGCAGGCTGTTCATAAGCAGTTGTCTACAAACACCGTACTTCAATTATAGATAGTCATTATTCCCTGTAAATGAAAACGAAGTCTGATAATATCTTCACTGGGGTTTGACATTTTAAATACATGTTTGATCAGAGTATAAAAGGCATCTTAATATATTATATGGGAATTTTTTTTTTAGATGAACACAATTTGTGTATGGTGAAGACAATCAAAGCAAAAATGCTGGTTTACTTTTACAGTTTACAACTGTACTCTAACACATCCTATTTTTAACAAATCATTACACACAAAAATTACATAAAAGGACTAAGAATAAAAATAAAACTGCCTGATCAATTAACCCTGAGCACACCTAAATCACACACATATCCACACATTCACACCTTGGACCCTTCAAATGGTTCTACTTTAAAGGAGAAAATGTTTGTTTTTTAATGTAAATATTTAAAACAGAGGATAACACCTATTCCACTGCTGCCTTTAAGAATAGGAATCTCCTGTTAAATGGGCCTGTGAATCTTCAGAGAACTACAAAGTCACCAGCTGGGAAGCTCTCTGAAATCAATAAAAATATAAAATGCACAGGCTAAGAATCAGGCAAATCTGAGAGCTACATCTTAGATATTTGATTTAAAAGAAGGGCGAACAGAAAGTAACAATAATACCTAAAAGCACAAATAAGAACATTATGCTACATATTAAAAGAAACTAAACAAATGTTGCCACATGGCACACTTACAAGACACGCAGGCAATGAAGAAAACTTCTAAAAACAAATATCCCCGAGTATCCAGTATCATGCCAGCAAGGATGGAAATGATCGCCAGCCCAAGATTCTGAATGGACTGCATGCTGCAATCGAAGAAATAGAAAAACACATTTTAATTTCAAAAGTCTTCATAGAGGAACAATTCACTACAAATATCAGTATCTACAAACATAGTGTTAGCGTTGAGACATTTTCAAACGGAGATTTTTTAAAATTCCATGACTGTTTCCTCTACTAGACTTCATGCCCAAGGTAGGGGAGCTTGCCTTATTAAGTGCACTATGAACACAAAACCAAGTGAATACCAACTTCCTACAGCCTTTTGGGTCAGAAACCAGAACTCAACTTCTGAGAAACCCTCAGATAAACAGGCAGTGGGAGGAAAACAGCAGCAATTACCTCTATGGGTTAGCTTAACTCCAGCTCCCTTGCTGGAGCATTTTCGTTGCTCCAAACTAAGCATAAACAGATTAACTGAATTTTCTAGTTATTTCCAGGTTTAGAGCTGTCCCAGAAGCCTACAGATGACTAGATTCAGGAGACCTGGAGTTTCATATGATAATAAGTTGGTACAGCAGAGAGACACATTGCATAATTCCCGGTACTTACAAGCCATATGCAGTTCCCAGTTGATGTTCAGGAACTACAAACGCCACCATTGGCCACAATGCACAGGCAAGCAATGAATAGGAGAGTCCCAGGAGACTCTATAGGAAGTAATACAGAAAAGGTTAAGTCTTATACTCACCGAAGTGACTTTCCTTTGATGCAAATTAGCAAGAGTGACATATTAGCTAACATATGAATCTTCATGCAAATGTTATTGTAATCAGGTTAAAACTCATGTTTAATCCAAAAATGTCCTGGCCCTCCCTTACAAGTATCCCTCTAGTGAAAAAATACATACACACTGTCTTAATCACATTATTTATATGTATATATAACTGCCTGGGCCCAGGGTACAGTCAAGAAACAATGCCTAACTGGTTTGGCTCAGTGGATAGAGCATCGACCTGTAGACTAAGGAGTCCCAGGTTCGATTCCGGTCAAAGGCATGTACCTTGGTTGTAAGCACATCTCCAGTAGGGGGGTGTGCAAGAGGCAGCTGATTGATGTTTCTTTCTCATCAATGTTTCTAACTATCTTTCTCCCTTCCTCTCTGTAAAAAAAAAATCAATAAAATATTTTTAAAAAAGAACCACTGCTTTAAAAAAAAATAAAGAATCAAGAAAGAAAACAAAGCTAATTTGTAAAAAATTATTGCCAATATTTTAGGCAAGCTAATTTTCCAATATTTATTAAGAATCACAAGTAAGCTGAAACCAGTTTGGCTCAATGGATAGAGCATTGGTCTGCGGACTGAAAGGTCCCAGGTTCAATTCCGGTCAAGGGCATGTACATTGGTTGCAGACACATCTCCAGTAGGGGGTGTGCAGGAGGCAGCTGGTCAATGTTTCTCTCTCATCGATGTTTCTAGCTCTCTATCCCTCTTCCTTCCTCTCTAAAAAATCAATAAAATATATATTTTTTTTAAAAAGAATCACAAGTAAAAAACCAAGGCAGCATCATTTTTCTTCAATTAAAAGGGGAACTTCATCATTTAAATTAAAATTAAGAGTTATACTTATCTTGTGAGCAAAGATTAAAATAATGCCAATATCCAACAATGATAAGAACACTAAAAGCAAATACATTCTTATATCACTGATAGAGTCTACGAAATATCTACCAAGATGTTAACTATGTAAAGCCTCTATCATAGCATTTGTACCTCTAGGAACCTGTCCTACAGAATTCTCACCTAGTGCACAAAGACAAAAGTAGGTTTACAGTTGTGAGCACACAAAACAGAGTTTGCTCTTGTATTATTATTTATTCATTATTGTATTATTTTCCTTAAGAACAACTGTAATCCTACTTTTGCCCCGCCCTATATATGTTCAAGATATTATTTTATTAACAGGAAAGGAAAACAGCACTTCAGTCCTTAGTCTTAAAAATGACACTCTGAAAAACAATCACAAAAATCTGATGAATTCCTTATCACTTCTGACCTACTAAATGTCAAAAACAAAAGGATGTGAAATCATGGATATTGGGCCAATAGTTTGTTGTTTTTTGTCACCTATGATGGAAGAACAACTTTTCATGAGGTACAGAAAAATAAATGGAACTAGTAAGCATTTTGGCTTTCAAAAGACTATTTTATTTCAGATACTATTTTGGCATTGAGGTTACTCTATTAAATAGGTCAAATGAAATTAAAAATGCCCAATGCACTAATAATTAATATTTATGCACTTTAAAAATAGTTATTTTGTAGACACTGAAATCAACTCATTGTTTTCCTTACTGTCACAAAGCACTGCTATCGGAGGAGCTGAGTGGCTCCTGACATGCAATTTATAGAGTCCTCCCTGAATCCCCGAGCCCCCCAGGTGTGAGCAGTCATATTACCATAGCAATCCAAGGGTTCCACAGCGTGAAGGCCAGCAGCATGTGGGAAGCAAGGGTGGTCACCACTGCACACAGAACCCAGATGATGTTCTTTCCTGTTTTATCTACCATGAGCCCAAATATTGGGGACATGGGAGCTGATATGACATATACAATACTGCCCAGAGAATAAAAAAAGATATTATTTAATGAAATGTATCCCAGCTACCAAAAAAAAAAAAAGAAAAATAAATCCAAGTCCCTAAATCCATTAGGCAAAGCAAACCCTAGCACATTTCGTTTAACAGTCGTCTACAATGGTCATCGGCAAATAAGAATATAAAGATATAAAGAGTGGTCCAACGCTTCTGTGGTTTTCCATTAATGCAGGATGGCCACTCAGGATCAAGTCCCAATTTAATTTGGATTTCACACTGTGGATGTTACATCACATATGTCTTATAACATTTGGTTATAATGAAAGACCCACACTAAGCACACAATAAGCACTTAGAGAATTAACGAAATACCTGTTAATAGCACTTGCTGCCTGGGAAGAAAATCCAAATTTCTCCATAAAGAACACTCTAAAATACAGAGAGAGAGAGAAATAAGCACCTTAGAGAGAACTACTCTGTTTTCTGTTTTGTTTTTTAATAAAGGCAGAACAAAAGCTGAATACAAATAATTCTAAGCTGAGTCAACTTTTCCTTCTTGATACTATTTTCCCACCTTATTTGAAATTATTCACATTTAAGTAACTGGCTAAAACTTTAGTGTTTATATAAATATTTCACTAACTAAATAAAATATACTGATGCCTATTTTTCCCCCTATTTACATATATCGCAAACAGTACCCACACGTTCAGAAAACCAAATGCACTACACCACAGGGAATTAAGAGCGCTTCTTTTCCATAAAAGCAGTACTGACCAAGTTTTTTTGCTATATAGTGCACAGAGCTCTTGTCTCAAAATATAATTAAGGTTTTTATTACAAATACACACCCCATAAACACATTCTCCCTCACACACTGTTCTGTTTAAAGCAGCTGCCAAAGAAAGCAGACGAGAGGTAGAAGATAAAGCAAGAAAAATTTGATTTGAATCCTGAATTTGAATGTGGAGGAATTCCAGTCCTAATAAAATATGTCCAATCACTATAAGCCAATATGCTCTCTCCATTCTCTCAAAGAGGCTTCCCAAGCAAGGAATAAAGAGGAAATTAAAAAAAAAAAAAAAATACTAACCTAAAATCAAGCAGTTAAATAAACCAATATTTTGAATCAAAAATTATTATTAAGTATTTCTTCAAAAAATAATAAAAATATATTAAACATGCCGAAACTGGTTTGGCTCAGCAGTAGAGTATCGGTCTGCGGACTGAAAGGTCCCAGGTTCAATTCCGGTCAAGGGCATGTACGTTGGTTGCGGGCACATCTCCGGTAGGGGTGTTCAAGAGGCAGCTGGTCGATGTTTCTCTCTCATCAAAGTTTCTAACTCTCTATCTCTCTCCCTTCCTCTCTGTAAAAAATCAATAAAATATATTTTAATATATATATATATAATATATATATATTAAACAATACTAAACCTTAAACTAAGAAAATCAGTCGTATCCCAGAATATGAAACAATCCCTGAATATATATATGAACTATAAGTAGAGAAGCAAGATTAACTGCTAAAACAATTACATTTATGTGATTGAAATATCATAATTTAGTCAACAGAAGTGGAATGCTAGAGAATACTCACTTCCCCAGTCCAATGAAAGGGAACACTGCCACATAATAGCAGACACAGATGATAAATATGAGCCACAAGGGCAAGGAGAAGTCCTTCACATCAGTTAGCTTAATAACTTCACCTTAGACAAGAAAGGGAAGAGCTGTCAGTATAATTTTACTTAACAAGATTATTTTTCATTTATCATGTGATGAACCTTTGCAATTCAGTTGAAAGACACTAACTTAAAAAGACATTAGAAAAAGCAAAACCTAAGATTAGTATCTACCTACCAAATGATGAGAAACGCACGTCATTTTGCAAATACACAAAGAACATATAAGGGGGAACATGTACCCCAAAATTTAAATAAACAGAAATAGATTTCAAAATAAGAGATCAAATAAGCCTCACTAGGTTTTACAACACTGCATTGGGAACTTGCATAATTGTACGTTATTTCAAAAAGGCCATAATTCCCCAAAGTCCCACTCTTCTCGCACTGAGACACACCTGTTTTTCCTTGTTCTTTATGAAGAATTCTTTCTGCTCTCTGATCCAAGTAAGCAAGGGCCAAGGCACAAATTAGTGAAAGAATACAGGTTATACCACCTATAATTTAAAAAAAAAAAAAAAAAGATTTTTAAAAGAGCCAGGCTGAACGTTTCTTAAAACACATCCCACAGCACATCGCATTAACAGCTGAGAAACTTAGCAACCAAAGGGGATAGTATTTCAACACATGTAAGAAAAGCCCACAATTACAAGTAAGGACAGAAGGAAGGAAAGAGCACATGGTAAGCACGGAACAAACAGTAGGGGCTATGACTATATTACTTCCCAGGAGAAGGTTGGAGAATAGATGAAAAAGATTAGAACTAACTAGTCCACTCTTCTAATACAGAATACAAATGGAAGAAAGCTGATAACCAGGCTAGCAAATGAGTCCTCCTTTCTTAATTCAGTCTAAGCTCCAACTGTTAGTGGATGTCAAGGGCGGGGGTAGGGGGAGAGGATTATAAAAGCGAAGTCTGATTCTGTGATCACCTCATCTTCCTCCTGATTCCTTCCCCAAGTCCGTCACCTTTGCTCCTCACCTCTGGCAGCCTGAGGGCCCCACCTTCCCACACACAGCTCACTCAGACTCTCTTTCCTCTGCGTATTCAACATTACTCACTAATGCTGACCTCATATAACTACTGTAAACCAGATAATTAATCAAGTTTGCACTCGTCAAGAATTTTATGAAGAAACTTAGTAGCTCCGGCTGGATGGTTCAGTTAGTTGAGTGTTGTCCACACCAAAAAGGTTGCAGGTTCGATTCCCAGTCAGGGCACATTCCTAAGATTTCAGGTTCCACATATGGGAAGAATTGATCAATGTTTCTCTCTCACATTAATGTTTCTCTCTCTCTCTCTCTGCTCTCTCTCTCTCAAATCAATAAACATATCCTCAGGTGAGGATTTTTTTTAAAAAAGTTTAGTAAAATAAATGCATCTTTAACTGGCTGAGATAATATGGTCCAGTTGGGGAAAAAAAACTGCTGAAGTGACAGACAGAAGACATTAGTTCTGCTCTGCCACTAACAAGCTGAATGATCTTAGGCACAGATCTGAACCTCTCTGGGCATAAATTTCCCCATCTGGAAAATAAGAGACTTTGATTCATAATAGCACAGGCCTTTTCTAGCTCAAAAATTCTTTAACGTTCTCAAACTCTCCATCAGAGAGGGAACTAGAATACTAAAGAGCATTTGAGATAAGAAAGAGGGTTTAAGTAAGGCAAAGGATCTGAGGACATGTGGGAGAAGGAGGAAGTCTCTAAGTACAAGTCTCCTGTTTGGGATTACCACTCCCCTGTCCTCTTTTTACCAGGCTGTATCAAGAAATTCTAAGGAATGAAAGATGGCACACAACATTCACCCCCTCTGTAAGCAGCCCTCTTCACACCATGGGGCTCAGGTAGACAAACGCACTGCTCAGAGAAGCAGCACCGGTGGTGAGTCCAGAGGGCCTCATTCGTTTCTCAGTGATCCGCCCAGCCCCCAGCACAGTGGAGCCTTGGCTAAGAGAACTTAGGGCCAGGAGGAGCCTGTACAGTTTTGGCCCAATACCCGCAATTTTACAGAAAGGAAACTGAGACACTGAGGTTAACTTCCTTGTCCAGGGTGACTGACCTGTCAGAGCCAGGACTAGAACCCAGGCTCCTGACCCCCAACTTAGTGGATTTCCCACCACATTGTATCATCTCTACAAAATCTAAGCTCTACATTTCTAAATTCCTGATCGTTTCAGAGTTTTCACATACACGCTCTCAGTTAATCATTAGTCCAATGCTTAAGTAGACAAGAACAGGACAAGATCCTCTTTTTTTTTTTTTTTTTTTAAGAAAGTAGAAATGAAAACAAAAGCATGAATACCTCACTATATCTAATTAGGTCAAAGAACTTATGAATTGTGCAAGTAAAATTATAACCAACGTGGTCTAACCCTGATTCCAGTGTTCCTTCCTCTCTGCAGTGATACTTCCTATGACGTGTTCAGAAGAGACTGAATGTGGGACATCAGGATTCACTAACCGATCATAAGTGTGATTCCAAGGGTAGTGTGACCAGCAGAACCCAACGAAGCTTCAACTTTGGAATACAGCCATCCCATGAGGTTCATGTTTACTGTACTTCCCTGAAAGAGAAGTGGGGGAGGGGAGGGGGAATCAACCTATATCTTATATATGCATATATCACCCTGCCTTGTTCAAAAACTGGGATGTGAGGCGGCTTAGAAAATAGATATATAGGACTAAGATTAAACAGAGGTAAATTATTTTCAAAACATTAGAAAGGAAGAAACTAACAAACTAAAATAAAACCACTGATGAGATTATTACACACACACACACACACACACACACACACACACACACACACACAAAGTCAATTTATAGAAAATGCTAGTATTCAAAATAGCAGTTACATTTGTAACTTCCTAGTAGCCAAAAAAAATGAAGCGAGTTACAAAATTTACAGGGAACCGAAGACAAAATAAGCCTTAGCTCAGAAAAAGCACAGCTCTTCCGGGAACGGACATGTGAAAAAGAATTCATCTTCTGTCCATAAGAAGATGGTAAAAGTTACAGATAACATCCTCATGCCTTTATTCATTCATGTAGCTATTACTGAGCCCTAATTATATGCCCGTCACTGTTCTAGGTGTTAGAAAAACAATAAGCAACAGAACAAAAAAAAAAATGTTTAGCTCTCATAGGGCTCTCGTTTTAGTAGGGTGGGTAGAAGAGGTGAACTTGGTAGTATATTAAATAGTGCTTTAACATGTTCGAAAAAAAGGGGGAACATACAAAACAGGGAAGGGGAATATAAAGAGGCAGAGGCCTCACTGAGAATGTGACTTTGGAGTAAAAGCCTGGAGGAAGTTAGCTGAGGACATCTGGGCATAAGGAACAGCCAACCACAGGAAATGAGCCTGTCTGACCAAGAACTCAGAGCTGTCTTCATAAGCAAAATGCTGGTGCACAGCGAGGAGGTAGACATTAGCCACAGAGGGCAGGTTTGGAGCAATCGGGAAAAGCTACTTGTGCGTGCAGATGCATCTCTACGTGAACTTGAACTTCATAAAGTTAACTGAAGTCGATGGGCTGCCCCATCAACACAGTGAGTTTTGATCACTGAAAATAGGCAAGCAGAGCCAGATGACGGTATGTGAGGACTTTCACAGCAGGGATGCCCACATGGGTAAGACATTAGACAATGAAACCTGTTAAGATCCATTATAATGCTCAGATTCTCTGAATTAATGTTTATGTAGCCATGTTAGACTGTTTCTAAGTAAAGTAAGGTTAGAAATGCCTTAATTAAAGTTAGGTACATGCTATCTTGTGGTCTAGAGAAATACATTAACAAATCAATACCTAATCTGTCATACACAACACTTCACCCTGTAATCTTTAATAAGAGATCCCTGTGATATTCAATCCTGTAATTCCTATTTGGCTTCATTGGGTTTGTCATACTTACAATTCTAGCCATGCTAAGTTGGAGTCCAAACACCAGGTTCAGTTCTTTGCCTTTAAACCAACTCACAGCATATGTATTCTGGGCAACTGCTAATGACTCCCCACCAATCCTAAAAGTGGGGAAAGGAAGGAAAAGACAAGATTCTAAAGAAAGACCACAGTCAGCAGCAGCAGGTTTAAAGCTCTGACACCCCCCTAACTGTCCATAAGATGGTAAAAGTTATAGATGGTGGTGTCGCTGCCTCCTCCCCCAAATCCACCACAGACTATGGTAAATGTAATGCTGTGTGACCCCAAAACCGGGTCATAAAAGATGAATCTGCTTTTTCATCAAACACTTTCACTTGGAGCCCTAGCCACCTCGGAATAAATCTAACTACCCTGAGTTCACCATGCGGTGAGAAAGCCAAGCCATGCTCCATGGAGAGGCCACATGCAGGCACTGCAGCCAGCCGTCCCAGCCAGGTGCCAGCCAAGTGAATCAACTAGCTCTCAGATGACTGCAGCCCAGAGCTTCCATGCAGCTTTCCAGCTGAGGCTCCAGCCAGCAGGTGCACAGACTAGCTGCCCAGTCTGTACCCTGTCCAATTTCCTGACCCACAGAGTCCACTGCGGAGCTTTGGGGAATTTGATATGCTGCGATAACCAAGACAGCAAGAAAAGAACTCTGGGTTACCATGTCACCATCTATGCGACAAAAATGTTCATGTGTAGCCCTGGCTGGTTTGGCTCAGTGGATAGAGCATCAGCCTGCAAACTGAAGGGTCCCGGGTTTTATTCCGGTCAAGGGCATCTGCCTGGGTTATGGGCTCAATTTCCAGAGGGGAGCATGCAAAGGCAGCTGATCAATTAATTCTCTCTCATCATTGATGTTTCTATCTCTCTCTCTTTCCCTTCCTCTCTAAAGTCAATTTAAAAATGTATTTTTTTAATGTTCATGTGAATAGTGAGCCATGCTTTGTGAAAACACAAAAATTCACTTTTCAGGGGCATACCTTCCATATTCAACGTTCTCCTACTTTCCTTCCGTAAGTTCTACACACTGACCAGCCCCACACCTAGGCCTTCAGCTTCTCTTCCATATCCTAACTCTGAGCCTTCTTCACCACTCCGTCCTAGTTCAAAATCAGTTCCCTTCTCTTCTGCTTATCCAAATCCTACGCTGATATCAACACCCACTTTGTCCCTGGAGCCACTTCTGACCACAGTTCCATATGAATCCCTTTTTATTTTTATATACATTTTGTTTCCTTTTCTCTCCCTTAGAACAGTTTTTGGACTATGTCATATGTCTACATGTCCTTGTTACAAATGAAAATATTAAATGAATTATGCTTTTAAATTAAAAACTAAGTAAGTTATTTCATCTGGGTTAGGAAGCCCAAGGCTGGACTCAGAATGGGCTTACTAAACAACACTGAAATTCATGAAGGCTCCTGGTATTTTGCTCATTCAAACTTTTTCAACGGGTTCAAAAGGACCTGTGCTTAGCCACTAAGAAACAACAAACTACCAGTGAATCAACAATCTAGAACCTGATGGTCTACACCCCTAGTCGGCAAACTGCGGCTCAAGAGCCACATGCAGCTCTTTGGCCCCTTCAGTTTTAAGCATTTTACCTACCTATCTAGTTTAAGTTTAAAAAATTTGGCTCTCAAAAGAAATTTCAATCGTTGTACTATTGATATTTGGCTCTGCTGACTAATGAGCTTGCCGACACTGATCTACACTATCATACTACAAATGAGGTTTAAATCATAGTCTTCAATATATCAGAACATCAAAACACCTAGGAAATACATCATTTCTGGGGAACTATTTAATATTCAAACCTACACAGTTAAATTAACTATGGCTACTCAAAATTATTACTTACTTTGAAGGAAAATCAAGACAACTAACAAACAGTGTTGGGTATATGTGGCTACATTTCAAGGACTTGAAGTAATTCTCCATAAGAGACAATAATATATTTTTATATCCTTAATAAACTGCTTGCTGACCACTAAAACAATATATTAGGTCAAATGAAATTATGCATAACTTACCCAAACACAAACCTTCCAAGTTCCATCAGCCAAAAAGCATTAAATATTCCACCCAAAGCAAAAATAACCTATAATATAGAATATAACATAGAATCAATAAATTCAAGTTAATTCAAGGTATTCAAGAGAAATAAGTAACTTATGATGAATCACAACTTCTACTATAATTTTAGTATTCCTTGTTAGGAAATCTGTGAAATTAAAACATTAATGTTCATCTGTCTCAAGCCTTAAAATGAATTATGCCTTCTACTATATAGGCATTTGTGAGCCTTGCTTAATTCAGTTAGGCCAGTGGTCGGCAAACTGCAGCTCCCGAGCCACATAAAATTTGAGAGCCGAGGCTTGCCACTCTGTTGACTAACGAGTTTGCCGACCACTGACCTAGACTCTCAATTCCAATAATTACAGGCTGTTGTTGTTCCTTGTGATTAAGCCCCTATCTGCAGTTTGCCGACCACTGAGTTAGGCATTCATTAAAGACATCTTTGCCAGAATTAGAAAAGAATTCACATCACTATCACTTACTCAATGAATGTTTTCGCCTTCCTTACCTGTCCGATGCAGACAAAGCAGCTAAAAATAATGGTGCCCCATCTGTTGGGAGAGAATATGAGTTAAGAATATGGCGGTCACCACATCTTTCAGTCATGTTTTCTTTGACCCCTCTCTTTTTAAAAGGACAAATATCAACCATGTTAATACAGTTACAAACCTGTTTACTCAAAGATTCTACACTTGGAGCATCTGTTTAATGTTTCCCCAGAGTAATAAAATGCCTGTGTTGGAAAAGTCCTTAAGGAGCACAGGAGTAAATGTCCTCCCAAAACTCAAGCCCTCTCTCCACCCTGGTGAAATGGCCACACTGCACTCAGCACTGGAAACCCACTATGGCTCCAAGGCAGCGCATGGTCCGTCCTGTCCTGTCAACCTAAGTGAGCAAGGACTGTGACGTACGAAGTGGAATCTATCCTCCTACCGTGTCCAGCTAATTCTATCCCTTTAGATCAAGCAAAATAAATGTAATCCTTCCTTTATAACCTAACTCTTCAAAATGTTTTAAAGTTAGTCCCCAAGTCTTAACACTCAGTTTCTTCAGTTCTTTTCCACCAGACATGGCTGGGAGACCCTTCATCATTTTGCCCTCTGTCTCCTAAAAATATTCTACACCTCTCTTAAAGCCTCCACTAACAACACACCTACAATCAGAAAAATGGGAAGTAACAAAGCTTTTAGTGTGAATCCTTCTATCTAATAAAAGTGATCACAAAGTTCAACCCTAAGAAAAGCAGAAAGCCTCAATAGGGAGAGGCAAATACTACATATGTGCTGGTTACTGTACAACCATCTCAATCCTCATAACCACGTTGCAAGGCAGGAATTATTATCCATATCCTGCCAGTAAAGAAACAGGAGCTCAGAAAGCCAGGAACAGCTCAGAAGAGTTGGAAGTTGAGTAATGGGATTCGGACCGTGGCCTGCCTGATCCCAAATGGGGGCAATATCTGAGCTACCTTATTTCACGAGTCCCAACCTAGTTTTAAAAACCAATTCCAGAGACATAAAAGTATCTTTAAATAAATACTAATGCAGATTATCACAGCAATACAGAATCTTATTCAGTTCTTTCTAGAAATTTAATTTAGTTCGGTGTTTTCCTAATAACCAAATCTTAGCCACAGGTGAAATTTTTTTCAAGCTTACCGTATTCCAAATACTCGGTCTATCAAAAAGCCACCCAGGAAACACAAAACTACATTGGGCCAAGAATACCAGGCATACAGCAGCATGAATTTTGTGGTATTCACCTGCATATCCTATATGGAAAAAAAATAATAATAATAACAAAATAAAAACTATTTTTTCCAAATAGTTAAAATTAGTAACTAACAAATTTAAACTTTTTTTTTTTTTTTTTTTTTTTTCTGTGTAAGGCAAGAATTTCTTAACCATTGTAGTCTCTTAACTGCTTTGGTTTCTCATGGTAGCTATGGCCTCTGCCTCAGAAAAAGGTCACATCCGGGTCCTTCTTGGGTCTGCATGCCATTTCACATCCCCCACTATGGAGACCACCTCTGTCTGAATCTGCCCATATGTCTATCTTTTCACTGCCCTATACTACCTGCAATGGCGCTCCCCACTATATGGAAAAAATAATCTTAGCCTCCCTCTCCTAACTCATACCTTCTTTCCCTTTCATTCTAGAATGTGAAGGGCCAATCTATGCATGTCTCCCTGTCCAAAGACAAAGAAAAGAGACCATCAAAATGCACAAGAAATTGGAACTATCAAATTCATTTTTACAAAACCAACATGGACAATCCTCTGCAATTAGTATCCACGTTTTAAAAATAAAATAACAACAAAACATACTACCAAATCATTTGTCAGTCAGGTGATTGATTACTAAAAGGAAGAATGAAAGGCAAACAAGTCTAATACTTTTGGTAATACTGAGGAAATAACACATAATTATTTATCTGAGTGTGAAACAATATCAAGATGCAAATGAGTGCTAATAAATGAATCTTATTCCACCCACAAACTCTCCTTGGTGACTACAGATATCAAAATGGACTCATAGGAGACTATTCAGACTAGGCAACCAGAGATCTAATGAAACCTCAACAAATCCTTCCCTAAAGCAAACAAAGGTGAAAAATCAACTTACCCGTTTAACCTGGGTCTGAAGGGCAGCGGGATTATCATAGCAAAAATAGCTGCCTAGAAAAAAGAAAGGACAAATATTTTCTAAGTAAAAATACTATCCACAGAAGAGTTTCGACTTGCAATTACTACTCAAATGGTGATTTTTAAATGTTTATACTTGGGGTTCGCGAACTGACACTATGGAAACTTTTTTGAACCTTTTCCCCGTCCATCATTATTTTCTAAGCTGTAGCCAAATAATCCAGAGAACACAAGTCAAATCACTTACAAAGTATTAGCCAGCATATACAGCAGTGGTTCCCATCCTTTTTGTGGCCATGCCCCCACCTAGCATCTCTAAAATCCTGATGTTCCCCTCCCCCCAGGAACATAGAATTTTTATCATTAAAAAAGTGAACTGTTATTCACATGGAGGAAGCCTAAAAGGCCATTAACTTGGTCTAAATAAGCTTCCAAAGAACATGGTATCCATGAAAGAGACAAATAAAAGAACGAAAGGACAGTTGAAGTATTGAAGAAGAAATCACTAAGAAATTGTTTAAAAAAAAAACACAATAATATGAAGTGATATGAAAAAATAGCAAATAAAGTTTCAAAACATATAATAGAGAACTAAAATACATAAAAATGTCACAATATATATTTATATACTGTATGTGAGGCCCCTAGAATCATGAAAAATGCAAAAAATTCACTGTTAATAACTCATTCTCGAATTGCCCCCTTTAGAAGTCAAATTGCCCCCCTGTGGGGTGTGTGCTCCACGTTGGGAACCACTGATATACAGCAAATATTGGGAACCGGAACCATGAAGTTAATCAACAACTAACTGTCCTTCCATTTTATTTACATGATGCTTCATATACCTATTAGTTTCTTGACATCTTCATGAAGCACTACATTTTCCTTATTTAAAATTATGAAAACACACACTAAAAACTTTGCAAACTTTGTCAGCAGTTAACTGAGATCACCATTTATCTTTAGAGCAGAGGAATGGAGTTTAACTGCTCTAATATTTGAAACAAGAGCTCTAATTCTATAAACAGAATGCTCCAAATATAATAACTTAGCAAACACGATGCCAGGAGTGAAGAGGAATAAAAGAGAGTTCTAAAGGATTGAAGACACAAAAATGTCTGTTGACGAATAAGAGAGAAGTGGAGAGAGGTCTGACATTCATTCACTGAGCTTTATTCCTAAAGTACTCTAAGTGACAGATTTATAGTAGACTTTGGGATAACACTGTCTCCATTGTCCCACTCTCTCTAAAAGTACATATTAGAAAGTACAAATTCAAGAGAGGAAAAAAAAAATGTCATTAGAAGGGTACAGATCTGGCTTTTGAAACGTAGACAAGTAGCCATAACTTACCAAAAACGATCTGTCTACTTCAAAAGAGATCATTTTAAGTGTTTTGTGTTCTTTTTTGTTCCTAAACCAGCAACTTGAAGTTCCTGCTTTAACAGCTATTGTAAGGGGTACCAGCATCATGATTTAAAGTTAACGGATGGGCATCTCTTTCCAAAAAGGGGCTGGCCAGGTTGCTCACAAGGTTGTGGGTTGGATCTCTGCTCAGGGCATATGCAAGAAGCAACCAATGAATGTGTGGAGAGGTGGAAGGACAAATCAAATTTTTTTAAAAGGACTGAGCGGGGGGAGAGGAGGGTAGGGACTCAAAAAGACTGGGAAAAAAAAAAAAAAAAAAAAAAAAAAAAAAAAAAAAAAACCAAGAATCCTCCATGCCTGTTTATGTATCCCAGCAGTAGCATCAAGTTACCCACCATAATGCTCCAAAACTTGTTGATTACACCGGTTCCTGTGAGCGCCCTTAAGACACACTACTACTTCCATACCAAACTAGGATAGACAATTGAAAAGTTGCTGAGTAAGTTAGCTGCTGGAACACAAGAAGGTGTTTCAAAAATTATCTCAAGAAACTGCCTTCAATCTCACTCATCTAGGGGAAGTGGTGAACAACATAGACTGGTGAACAAGAACAGACCCAGAGATAAGGAGCCACGGGTCAGACTGTTGGACCTCAAAGGGAGGGTGGGGATAAAAGGGAGAGATCAATCAAAGGACTTATGTGCATACATATGAGCCTAACCAGTGGTCAAGGACAATAGGGGGGTGGGGGATTGGAATGGGGGGTTGAGGACAAATTTGTGATACCTTAATCAATAAAGAAATTTAAAAAAAGAAAAAAAAGAAAAGAAAAGAAACTGCCTTCAGATTTCCTAAGTGAAATCAACCACCGCCAAAACCACAAGTCCCATCCTCGCTGAAGCTCTCAGAAAGCCACAGTGGATTTCCAAAAGCCGGAGAGAAACGTATGACACTACCAACGAAGTTGCTGATTTCTTAAAAAGCCTTTTCCATGCGGAGGGAAGAGAGGTGGTTCAAACTTTCTGAACCGAGCGCCAGGAGAGGAAACCTGGTCTAGAGATCCCTTCCGGTGGGCGGCGCGGGGAGCGAGATGCTAGGAGCCGGGGAGCAGCGAGGGCACAACTCGCCCAGCAGCCCCCGGACCCCACCATTGGACGCCACAGGTTTGAATGGGGCCACGAAGGGGAAAGGAGGGAGGCCCGGGAGCGGGCGGGCAGCTCACCGAAGCCGAGGAAGCACATCAGCAGCAGCACCAGCAGCCGGTGCGCCAGGCGCCTGGGGTCGCAGAGCGCGGGCAGCGGCCCGGGGTCGGCGGCGGCGGCATCGCTACCGGCCTCGCCGGGGCCGCCGGCCAGGAGCCCCCGCGCTTCGTCCTCCTCCTCCTCCATGGCGCCCGCGGGAGACCGAGAAACAAAAGCAGCGGCAACACCTGTACCTCCTCACTGGATCGCCCAGAACGGAGCCCAGACGAGACTAAGAGCACGTGACCGCGGTCGCTCACGTGACTCCGCGGAAGTCACGCGGGGCTGCGCTCACGTGATCACCGGTGGGCGGGGCTGGCGGGAAAGCCCAAGAGGTGGGGCTTGGGCATGTTCTCTCGCTGGGCAACCTGTGTCTGTGGGGCTTCGTACCCTTGGGCGTCCACCTCCCTGCCCCTGCCTGCGCCTCCCGCGTGTGCTGTCTTTCCTGACCCGCTTGCAAATGCACCCACTGCGGACCGGCCCTCTGCCCCGGAGAGCGTGCCTTCCATCCATCCATACGTGCCACTCTCCTGCAGCATTGCTCCCCGCAGCCCCCTTTTGTATTATTTTTTCTTCTCCATTTTTTTTATTAAGGTATTATATGTGTACATATCTTAACATGGCCCCCCCACCCCACTCCCATACATGCCCTCACCTCCCAGAGTTTTGTGTCCATTGGTTATGCTTATATGCACGCACACAAGTCCCTGGGTTGATCTCTTATCTCCCCCACCTCTCCCTAACCTTCCCGCTGTAATTTGAATGTCTGTTTGATGCTTTACTGCCTCTGTATCTATCTTTTTGTTCCTCGGTTTATAATGTTCTTTATTATCCACAAATGAATGAGATCATGTGGAATCTTTCTTTCAGTGGCTGGCTTATTTCACTTAGCATAATGCTCTCCAGTTCCATCCAGGTTGTCGCAGCCCCTTAATACTAACAGATTCTTAATACTCACAGGCTCCATTTAGTTTACCTTTCTGAGCTAGTCTCAGGCCTCAAAGTTCACGGTTTAGTTCACAGAGAGGTCAACAGAAACTGATACGTAGAAAGCAACATGATGAATGGATGCATGTAATGAGAATGGCGACAGAAATAAGCACTACACTCTATTAAAATGCCTGGGGATACCATCTGGGAAAGAGAGAACAGGTGACTAGTTTAATCAGCTTGGAGGAACATGACAGCAGAGAGGCTGGAGAGCGCTGAAGCCCTTGAAGTGGATGTCTGAGCTAGGATTAGTAAGAATGAGCAAAGAAATGGTGCCTGTTTGAGGGGGCTATTGGAGGAGATGGTTAGGAGGGGTAATAAAGACACCAACATAAAACAACTCTGTGTGTGTGTGTGTGTGTGTGTGTGTGTGTGTGTGTGTGTTCGTATTTATCTGGGAATGAGAACAAAAGAACTCAAGAGTAGAAAACACTAAACCTGGTCCATGAGAAACCATGCAAGGATTTTGAGCAGAGCAGCAAGAATGAAAGATTTGTGTGTTTAAAAATTCAGACTGGCACCTGACACCCCTTCCCTTTTTCTGGTTGTCCCAGGCTTTGCCAACAGGATTTCAAGAGTGACAAGGCCAGAAGTTGTGTAACCATGAGGATTATTAAGTATTGGAAAGATTGGTGGTAGCAAGGACCTATACTGGGGAAATCGGCATGCAAAGGGAAGCAAAGAAGATGAAATAAGTATCTAGGTGAAATGAAGATTACTTTATAAATAATAGCATATGAGATCTGAAGGAAAAGAATTTGAGAATGTCTCCCAGATTCCTATCTTGGGCCCCAATAGAGATTAGAATATAAGAAGGGGTGTGGGGGGCTGTCAAGAGATAGATCAGCTGAGGCCGGTTTGGCTCAGTGGATAGAGTGTCAGTCTGCAGACTGGAGGGCCCCAGGTTCGATTCCAGTCAGGGCATGTGCATTGGTTGCGGGCACATCCCCAGTTTGGGGAAGAGGGGGCAGAAGGCAGCTGGTCGGTGTTTCTCTCTCATCAATGTTTCTAGCTCTCTGCCCCTCTCCCTTCCTCTCTGTAAAAAATAAATAAAATATATTTTTTAAAAAGAGATAGATCCATTTGGGAGTGTTGCCTTCAAGATATCTATACATGGTATCTCCACTTTCCACCTCCCATTCTGTCTTCATCTCCAAAGGAGACGCCCCCAGTCTAGTGAAACCTCTTGCCAAGATGACTAACAACTCCATCTTCCCACTTACAGTGCTCACTTCTCTGTCCGCATCTGACTCGATTTCTCAGCATCAGTTGATGCCTTGGCCAGCTTCCTCTTTCTTGATCCCTTAACACTACATTTGTCTCATTTTCCTCCTAGTTTATTGGGATCTCTCGTTTGCTGTCTCATTTGTCAACTTCTCCTCTGCTGCTTCAAATCTAAATATTCCTGAGCTCCAAGGTCCAGTGTTGAGACAAACTGACGTCACATACCTCCTGACACGAACACAGCACTCTGTGGTATAACTTAATGTCACCATGAAGAAAAACATCAGACAAACCCAAAATAAGGGACGTTCTACAAAATAACTGGCCTCTGCTTGTCAAAAAAAAAAAAAATCAATGTCATAAGGAACTGCTGCTGGTTAAGGGAGATGAAGAGACATGACAACTGAACCCAATGCATGGTCCAGGATTTATTTAGCTCTAAAAGACATTATTAGGATAGTTGACAAAATCTGAATAAGGCCTATGACTAGATCATTTTATTCTATCTATATTAATTTCCTGATTTTGATGATTATGCTGTGATTATAAAAAATACACATTAGGATATTTACAAGTCAAAGGACAACATACCTGCAACTTACTCTCAAATGGTTCATGAAAATATGTATGTATATGTGTGTGTAGGCACAAACATATATCTGCACTAAAAAAAAGAGAGAAATATGCAAATTCACCTTCTGTAATGCCCACCAGCCAATCAGGAGTGTGTATGCAAATTAACCCAACAAAGATGGTGGACAATTTGCATACACAGGCATCCCACTCCACCCCAGCCACAAGGGGTCTTTGGGCAGTATGGGAAGGCAGAAAGGCGGCTCCAGGCTGGAGCAAAGGTGATGCTGGCAGCCAGGAGAAGGAAGGCCCACTCTTGCATGAATCTTCGTGCATTGGGCATCTAGTATATGTATATGTATATGTATATGTATATGTATATGTATATGTATATGTATGTAGAGAGAAAGAAAGAAAATAAATATGGTAAAGTGTAAACATTGGTTATCTGGATACAAGATATATGGGAATTATTTGTACTAGTCTTACAACTTTTCTGTAAATCTGAAATTATGTCCACAGACTTTGACATCCTGAGAGCCTTGTGAGCCTTTGTATCTCAAATACCTAGTAGAAGGCTCAGTTTGAAAAATGCTTAAGTGACTAGATGAGTCCCTTAAGTCAGGGGAGAGTTGCAGCAGCAAGTGGTGTAACAAGAAAAGCTTTCTGTCATGGAAACATTCATTCCCGCCTACACAATGAACTTGCTCATTCTAACTGCACTGACCTATTATTAGTAAAGCAAATTGCACTTGTTTTGTAACTACTGAGTGATGAAAAAGTGAGAATGACTCAGGGTATAGGTATAGACTTGATTATCTGGGACACACGGTCACTGGATCGACCAGCCAGTTTCATTGGTGTGGGCATGATCTCAGGCTCTGGAGCAAAGTTAGTCCCACAGAAAGAAAAGAGGATAGGATTCTCTCAAAAATCTAAGTTCTAGACTCAGCCTTCTTGTGCCTTTACTTCCTACCACTCCTCCTGAGGGCTGTGTGGGCCAAAAAAATTCTCCTATCGCCATGCTATGTGGAAGCCAAGCCGAAAATCTCACAGCCTTCTTCAATGCCCTCTTTCCCTCCCTGGTCTGCTCCCACCTCAACCTCTACCCCGAGCAGTGTGAGTTTCTAAGTGGGACAAGAGGGAGGTGTGTCTGACTCTGCCTGGGAGCCAAGAAGCAATGATAGGCGAGCTTGATCTCAAAGAATGGAGAAAACTGAAGGGAAGGAAGAAGGATGGGAGAGGAAGGAGAATATTTCAGGCAACATCACATGCAAAGGTTTAGAAAAGGCTACAAACCCATATCAATGGCCATATCAGCTTCATCCAGCTCTCTGTGGAAGATTTGAATGTCTGGTAAAAATAACTAGAATGACCTGAGTGATGAGACTCGAATTTAAGTCTGGTTTTCCCATATATCAACTCATGAAAATTATTGTATAGTCTCTGGTCAAGTTTACATAATCACAAGAATGAAAGTTTGTATGTTCTTATTTGAATGAGATACAAATTTCAAAAGAAAATGATGTGCTTTTATCAATAGTCCCAGTTGTATAAGTTTGCCCTTATATTTTTAGAATTGAATAAGCAAAATCAGTGCCCCAGAAAATGGGAAGACATATACTCAGAGGTTTGGGGAGTCTTGGCTAACATTTACTAATTGTTCTTCAATTGCCTCCTTCGCCTTTTTTTTATTATTATTATTATTATTATTGCATTAGCACCCATGACCTGAGAATCTGTGTCATTAAGCCTGGTACTTTGCCTTTGACTGTTCCCAGTAGGAGAAAGCATTTTTTCACCTTTCGGCTCTGGGACACAAATAAATGGACTGTTCTTTTACCTCTCAGCTCTGGGACTCATATAAATGACCTGTTTATCTATTAACATTTCCCTCAGCAATATGTTTGCAAGGAAGTCCACTCCATACACCTACTTCCTTTGCCTAGAATATAAAATTAACTCATTTGTAAAGAACTATAGCATGCTGTAAAGCTGAAATGATGTCTCATAAAGCTTAATTTTAAAAGTTGCCTGAAATAGACATTTGTTTGTTTATTTTTTCCATAAGAAAAGCTATTATATGTTTTGGGCTCTTTGCACATTTATACACCTTAAATTTTCCATCAGTAAAAGTCATATTTGTGACCTGCATACCCCATTGGGATGCCAAGCTTATTGTGGGATTTTTAACCATGTTAGTGTCCTCATATGAAAAAAAAATATGAATGTATGCATTCATCTTTTAATATATTTCTGACCTTTTCGCCGAGCAGTGGGGCACTCCTGTGAGGCCAGGTGTTCGCGCCGCCTGGGATCCGAGTTCTGGGAGTCACCGTTGCTTGTTGGTCGATGCGGCT